TTAAATGTAAAAAAATGCTCGATATCATTGATGATTCTAAAAAAGCTTTTGATAGAAGATTTCATATGATTTGGTTATTAGGAGATATACTCCCCATATTTCACAACCATATAATAGAATACGACTAACAAGCGATGAAAAGAGTTTCAGTAGCACTTTGATTGGTACATTTTCAGCGTTTCAAAAATTACACATGAGACTATGATTTAAGGAATAAAAGACGAAATTCCGTGTTTGATATGATCTGTGATCTGCTGCTTCTGTAGCTTCTAAAACGTTTGATAGCTCTTCTTCTGGGATATCATCCCAGAAGACATCATAAATAGGCATTTCTTCGTTGATTGTTCATGAAAATGAATGATAACAACAACAAATGCAAACGGCGGGAAAAAAGAAATTTTTGACGCGCGCGAGCGTGTTTTGATACTGTAATCAAACATGGTTTTCGACCAATCACAGCGCGCGTAGTATCCTAAATATTTTAGAAATGCCTTTAAAGCCCTATTGTATAAAGATTTAATCGCTAACTTAAAATTTCCGTTGTAATGAAAGGTTAGACCAAGGTAAGTATATTCGTCGACATGATCTAAACTTTGAACATTAAAAAAACAACAGGAGGCTCGATACAAAGGTTTTTGTGCCGGAGGGCAAAAAAAAAACAAAATTTTAGTTTTTTTCAAATTTAAATTTAGTTTCCACTTTTTGCAGTATGATTCTAGTTTTTAGTCGGACTAGCCGAATCTATCTATCTATCTATGTGTCATGTTGCGTTTGGACCACCGGAAGTTAAGAATTTAATAATTAACCATTGGGTTGGCTGTTTATTACATGATCGGAAGCTCAAACGTATAGATGTACAAATATATCAGTAGAATGAAATAGAACAAAACACCAACTTGAAGCTATAAAAACTCTGTTTATTAGGACGTTTCGGCACTTCGGCCTTCTTCAGCAAACTGAGTGTTTTGTAAACGAATAGTTTTTTAATATATTATTTTGATATATTTGTACATCGTTAGTAATGTCAGATTCTACTTGCGCTTTTATGTGATTAAAAAACTATTCGCTTACAAATGTGGTATCTGTGATCTCATCGGAATGCATCAGTCTAGCTATCAGAAGTACGCGCATGTGCGGATCGCATGGAGCTTCGAGTAGTATGCTTACGTAACTGAAAATTCTAGCCCTGGACAGTCTTGTTTGGGCAAAGATTTCAAATTAGAACAAGAAGAAACTTTGTTGATCAATAACAAAAAGGTGACTTTAATTATTTTATAGGCATTTTTTTAAAAGTATTTATTTTTCTTGGCCTGAGAGGTCAACAATTTGAATTAAAAACGTATTAGATATGATATCACTTAGAGACATGTCTCTAAGTATTAATTACATGACCTTTTACGTCAAAATTTAGATTTCTATCGTTTTGAAGTCGTTGCAGAGAGCAGTCGAAAAGAATATCGTATCGTGTGAATAAACGGTCACGCATTCTTACTTTCACTATGTATTAGAAGTAAAAAAATATAGTATTCTACGCCATAATATACATTCAAAAATAGCTAATCCGACTTCACGCTCCAAGAGCGTCTAGTTTTAGACTATTCTGTAAACCAGACTCACTTTCCGATAAAAGTACTAAGTCATCAGCATATAAGAGGCAGTTTATTTTGGAATCCCCAAGTTTAACCGGATCACATGAATGAGAAAACACACTAGGTATGTCATTGATGAAAATATTAAAAAGAGAAGGGCTAAGATTACAGCCTTGTTTTACTCTAGTGAATGACTGAAAAAAAGGAGTGACACCTTGTTCTAATTTTAGCTGCTTTGACAGAAGAATACATAATTAACAAAATAGCTAAAAATCTTCTACTACAACCA